TCACCCTTCTTATTAGCAGCAACATTAAATTACCACCTAGAAAATCATAGTAGTGAATTGGCATAGGAGATAAGAAAGAACTTATACGTAGACAACGTTATTATATCAGCTAATGGAACAGAAGAGGCCTTATATAAATATGAAAGAACGAAAGAAATTTTTGGTGAAGCATCGATGAACATAAGAGAATTTCTTTCAAATGACGAAGAATTTAATGAAAGAATACCTGAATGCGACCTAAGCCAAACAAACGAGGAAAATTTTCTTGGTCTCAAATGGAACCATGAACGAGATATTATCCGTGTGACACTGAAACCATGGATAGGAAAAAGTTTAACAAAGAGGACTATCCTACAATTCATAGCCTCCCAATACGATCCATTGGGTCTTCTCGTTCCTATAATGATCAAACTTAAATTATTCATACAACACTTATGGAAAGAAAACATTCCATGGGATCAATCTTTAAACAAACGAGACGAACAACAGTGGATAAATCTCATCAAAGAATGGCCAACAAATATAATAGAGCTGCCAAGATTTATAATGGAAACTTCACAATTAACAGAATTCCATATATTTACTGACGCTTCGAAAGTTGCCTATTCTGCAGCTATTTATATTCTCAATCATGGATATCAAAACACATATTCGAATTCATTTTTGATTTACGCTAAATCTCGAATTGCTCCAATTAAAGGTATGTCAATTCCTAGACTTGAATTATTATCTGTACTAATTGGAGTAAGAGCAGCTCAGTTCGTATTGAAACAATTAAATCTTGAGAATAATCAAGTTACTTTGTGGACGGATCCAAAATGTGTTCTTTACTGGATCCAGAATTATACAAAGCTGCTTCCCAGATTTATACAAAATCGCATCAAAGAAATAAGGAAATCTAACTTCGAATTAAAATACATACCAAGTGATCAAAATCCAGCAGATATAGCCATCAAAGGAGTATCACCACTTAAACTCCAAAATTGTAAACAATGGTGGAAAGGACCCTCGATGGTTGGAACTCAAGAAATCTGAATTAGGAAACGATGAATTTGCAGAAGCTATTGCTTTGAACTTGACAAAGATAACTCAAACATTTAAAAAGGATACAATTGAATTTATTGATGAATGCCGCTCCAGCAGTTGGAAAAAACTAATTCGAGTAACTATTTGGACTCTTCGATTTAACAAACAAACTTGCAAAAGGAAATTAGTGTGACTACAACCATTATCCGTAAAAAAGAAATATATGACTAAAGTCAATTACGATATAGCGGAAACCATGCTGATCAAACAGGCCCAATCACAAATGCTAACGGAGGACGAAAAGGAAAAATGGAATCTATATCTAGATGAAGATGATGACTTATGGAAATTAATGAGCCGACTGGAAAATTCAGAATTAACGGACGAAAGCAAATATCCTATTTACCTATTTATCTTATTATTTTACACAAGCATAATGAATTATATCACGCAGGTATTGCACATACGTTATCTGAATTAAGACGAAAATTTTGGATACCGAAAGGAAGAGCTGCAGTAAAACGAATCATAAACCTATGCTGTTATTGCATACGCTGGAAAGCTAAACCGTTCAAACTGCCAGCGATGCCAAGTTTGCCAAGTACACGAGTAAAACGATCCAGAACCTTCGAACAAGTTGGTCTTTCAGTCAAATCTAATACTGGTCTAGTCAAAAGATGGATAACACTTTTTACGTGCTTCACTACCGGAGCAGTGCATCTAGAAATAGCAGAGAATTTATTTGCCAAGAATTTTTTATATGTTTTGAGAAGATTTATCGCTCGACGTGGATATTCAAAATTAATATTAAGCGATAATGCAAGCCAATTTCAACTGGTATTCAAAACCATTATGGAAGAAAACACTAATTTTTTAGCGACAAAGGGTATGGTATGGAAAAAACACTATACCAAGAGCAACATGGGGTGGTGGTGTATACGAAAGACTTATAGGACTCACAAAAAGGGCATTAAGAAGAGCAATAGGAAGAAAACTTTTAAAGGAAGGAGAATTAATAACATTGATAGTTGAAATAGAAGGAATCCTTAATACTCGTCCATTAACTTAGGTAGGTTTTGACGACTATAGAATCATACGCACAATTGATTTTATATCACCTATGGCCTCATTAGATCTACCAATAAATTACGATAGTAATCAAGACGAATATACTCCTTATACAATAAAGACTAAAGATAAGTTAATCAAGTATTGGACTACCATTCTTACCACATTAGATGTCCTCTGGAAGTTGTGGAAAGAAGAATATCTTACAAGTCTTAGAGAACGCACATAAAGAGAATTAAAATCACCTAGAATAGTAGAAAAAAGAGTACCACATGAAAGTGAGATAGTATTACTAAATGAACCCGAAGTACCTGGTGATGTATGGAAATTGGCAAGGATAATAAAAATTACTCGAGGATGGGATGGAAAAATAAGGAGTGCAACAATACAATTACCGAGTGGAAAACAAATCGATCGATCAATAAATATGCTTTATCCTATGGAAATAGATGCTACTGAAGATAAGGAAAAAAAGGTGGAAGATAAACCGGAAGAACCCATTGCTCGACGAACTAGAAGTGCTAAAAAATCACAAACTACAGTCGATGCAAAAGACAAGTCTAATCTTTTGATAAAAATTTTATCATTGATAACGATGATGTCGTTAATACCAAGACAGGTATAAGAACAACTGTAATTGGATTACTGTGTACCCTTTAATATTCCTGAAAAATGGAATTGTGAAGAAATTATTAACAAAAATGCTACATATCACAAAGTGGATGTGTACACACGCACCCATGTAAGAATACCAGCTATAAAATGTAGCAACATTACACGAACCGTATGCACGAAAACTTTTCTTAGAATATCACTATCGGTAGTATCAGACCATACATCTACTACTGCAACTTCCTCACAATTCTGCAGATATTTAAATGTTCGAAAACAAATGAATGGAATTGGACTAATTCAATCTTCTCACAATCAATGGATAACAAATAAGGGGATACAATACTCCTATGGATGGTTAGGAGTCAACTGTCAATCAACAAACTTCATATTAACCCAAGGAGAAATTCTTCTATACGATGGAAAAGAGTTAGTTTCTAACCTTGATGATATAAAAGACTGTTTGACACAAAAAGGTGAATGCATAACAAATACTAGCATTATCATATGGAATAGCAATGATACAACCAATCATTGTTTGTATCGAAAGATCGGAAGATTCAAGGCTACAAAATATAACAACAACTTCATCATCGACAAGATACAGGCATCGCTTATAATTAATGAAAACCTCCCTATATTAAACACCAAAAATTGTAGATTCACCTCTCAATTTTTAATGCAAGGCGATATAGTTAGTGAAGTAGATGTTGAAGATGACTCGAACTCTACTACAACATTCAAACGAAGGGTAACAAATAAACTATTGATGATGGAAAAGTCTCCTGATAAAAGGTTCGATACTGAAAACGTAAAGCTTCAATACCTTTTCGACTCACTAAGACAAGAATTCATTCAGCAACTCAAAGAAACAAAGAAGTTGCCAAAACAGGAATAACTTATTACTGTTAATCAAATGGTTGTCAATCAGCAATCCTACCCTTGCAGCGAAACTTATACTTCAAAGAAACGATGTGATAGCTAAAAAGATTAACGGAAATTTGATGGTGGCTCCTTGCAAATCAGGACGACCGACAATCGAAAACATCGTATTCAAAGGAGATTTAATAAGTAAGTTTGAAATTGAAAGAATCAATACAGAATTAGAAATCCTAACTCAAAACCAAAAAACAATCAATTCAATATCACATCAAATGAAGGATGAATTCTTTTGGCAAGAAATTTCTGAAGGAGAAGAAATTATCGAACAAATAGAAAGGGAATTCAATGAAATTGTTCTACCGATAAAAGGAGAATTTGAAAACGTGATAACACATTGGAAATTGATTTTTATCTGTATAATTATTGTAACAATACTAACTATTTTAGTTATTCTTAAGTGGAAATTTAAATTAGTTCAATCCCTCTCTTGTAATACTCCAAAACGAAGTTCAAACCAAGCTACCATCATTACTCACCTTATAGAATCACCACACACTCAATTCCTAACTAAAGAAGAAATCCCACCCATTAAACTCCATACATTTAGCTATATACCTCAAAATCACTCTCTCAAAATTACAACTTAAAACAATTCCTCTCTCCCTTTGGGAGTGTCGCGAATTATAATTTCGCGAAAACTTCTATCTAAAATAATAAGAAAAAGGAAAATTAATAAAAACTAATTAATCATTCTTTAATTGTAAACAATCCCATAATATCATAAATTATCTCTCCATAAATCTAGTTTCTTAAGATTCTTCACACATGTGATTTTCATTTTAGATACGTTCAATTCTCACATTGTAAATTCTCAATTTTTGTAGACGCTTCCGACTCTTCATACATGTGTAAAACAATCTTACAGTATCATAAATTATCCCTCCTTAAATCTAGTTTCTTAAGATTTATTACATATGTAATCTCACATCGTAAATTCTCAATTCTGCATGAACATTTCCGATTCTTCACACATATGATTTTTATCTTAGACATAACCAATTCCCACTCATATAAAACTCAACCCTAAAAAATAAAATGATGATTGTCCTTATTGTCGACTACTACTACGTTAACCAATTTGAATTCCTCCGGTCTTCTTTTATAAATTTCTTCTCTTTTTATTGCTCGATTTATTAATATTACGTTTTCGGAAAATAAAGGTTTATTAATCTTCCTACTGTATTGCAACTATTCGAGTATCAAACGACAAACCTTTCGCGACAAAATATGAAAACTTAATATTATTGTGAAAAAAAAAAGAAACATATCAAGACTATAAAATATAAATAAAGGTATAACATGTCATTTTACTCATGAATGTAACATATACTTTGATATAATTATCAGCGATATCAGCGACCATCTGAAAAAATAATTTTTTTTTTTAAACTTTAATTCAATTGGAATTAAACTATAAAAATCTGAATTAGAACTTCAACAAAAAATTTAAGTGAAAAAAATTCCCAAAAATAATAAATCATTAATTAAACAATTTCTATTAATGAAAAAATGCATTAATAAAACAAATTATTTCTATAATTATTTGTTGTTTTCTTTTCTTTTCTTTTCTCTTTTTTGTTTTGTTTCCTCGTTGCTTATATGCCCTAAATTTCTAAAAATATTTAAATTTATTTTCACCTAATTTATACATCATTAAAACTGATAATATAAAATGATGGAAGGAATATAAATTTTACCTGAATTAAGCGTTAAATGATCACCTTTTCGAATATTGATAACGCTATCTCTTTCAGTTATCATATCATCTGTTCGCAATGATAAAAGTTTTCCAAGTTTATAATCATCATGATTAATCTCTAATGGTATTTCATCAACATCATGATTATGCATATGTCGCCGTAACATATACACCTCAGAAATCTTAAATTTTTTTTTTCAATAATATTTATTGTAATCAAAGAAAAAGACTGAAAAAAATTTTAAGTTGAAAATAAGAAAACAAATAAAAAAACTGAGCAAAAAATAAAAAATTTATTATTAGATAAATAAATAAACATATTGATTACTCAAGTATGCAATTTAATCCACAAATCAAAATTTTCATAAAATAAATGAAAATTAAATAACTTACTGATATACAATAAATGACAGTAATTATCAAATGAATGTTGGTGCAATATCGCATTGTGGCAATTTTTTTATAAATGCTTCGTGTAAACGTTTTCCTGCAAAACATACTAATTTATTTAACTCAAACATACATGCATACATACAGACATAGACATGTACACACGCATACGCGTACGCACGCGGAAACGCAAACACAAACATACACGAATGCAAGCACGCGAGTATACATAATTTAATGGACGCCCATAGATAATGATCAAAAGAACCAGTACGACAATTACGATTGTTTCATCTTTTAATTGAACGAAGTATTTATTCCTACAGTTTATTGATTAATCAATAAATCAATTAATTAATCAATTGAAGTGTGTAAAAACATTTCAGCTTCCTAATGTATGTTTTATTTCTTTTTTCTCTTTCTCTTGCTTATTTTTTTTCCTTTCAAAAATGAAATTATTTTGTTGTCACATATATATTTTTCACTCATTATTAATATAGGTATAAAAATAGACAAATCAAAAAAAAAAATTTTTTTTTGATTTAAAATTTAAAAAAGTATTTTTTTAAAAACAATAAAATAAAATAAAATGAAAGAACAACGAAAAAAAAGAGAGAAAAGAAAAGAAATTGAAAAATTCTTAAAACAGTAAGAGCAAAATGTGTTATGCACATTATATTGCTTCTTTCAATGTTCTTTTTGTTTCTCAGTTATTCTCAAACAAGTTTCTTTTCTTCTTTTCCCGCCTAATGAATTCCATATACTATGTTCATTTTTCAAATTGTCCTTTGACCTCTTTTTATTTTTATCTTCTTTATCATCTTTTCAACTTCACTCTTTCAAAAAAATAATGAGAAAGGAAGAAGGGAGAAAGAGCGAAGATGAAAAAAATGGGTGAAGAAAAAAAAGAGAATTGTATTAATTAATCAATGCAAAGTAAGAATTAATTCTAATGAAAGAATTATTCTTGTCTTTTCCCCTCTCTGTCTCTCCTCGTAATATTTCGTAAATGGTTAACCTAAAAATAAGTGATAATAACTGCTGTTTTCTTGTTTTAGTTGATTCAATATTTATGAAACATTTAATTTTTCAATTTTGATAATTGTTTAATTCATAATTTTAACAAAACTTTGAGATTTTGCTATATCCTAAATAGTGAAAGATGTTTGATGTATCATTTTGTTTCATACTTCAAAAATCAAAAAATTTTGAGCTGAAACAAATTTTGATGTTTGAAATTACTCATTAGTAAACTGACAAGTTAGTCATAACGATTCATTGTTTTTAAAAAAAAATAGAAAAAAAGAAAAGAAAAATTACTGGGTTGTTTAAATATACCACTCGGTTATTTTTTGTGAATAGCATAAAAAAAAGAAACAATTTCTCTGAAATTATTCTAAAAAAGAAAATGCCGTCATACAACTCCTTATCATTTAATCAAATCAATAACCACTAAGATTGTTTATGAATGATCTGAGTCATTTGATTGTATATTGCTTCATAATACTAAAAATATACCATTGATTTTTGGATAAATTTTTACATAATTTTGATTTAGTTAGTTTTTTCCATTACTTCTATACATTTTTCCTATTCCTTTCTTTTTTGATTAAAAAAAGAAGACAGAAATTCTTTAAGATTTGTTAGACAAATTTACTGCGATTGCTTAATTACAGTAAAATGACATAAACGTTTTTTAATTCAATATTATTTCAGTTTTAATAGAAGCAAAATGTAAATGACAATCCTGCCTTACTTTAATAGTGAAATGACGTAAATGTTCATGACAATTCCGCCTAATAAATCATAATATATTGAAATACATATATAAATAAAACTAATCATTCATTTTTGCATATGATTAGAACAACTATGCGTTTATCATATATATTTTACATTTCATATTAATTCATCCCCTAATTACGACATTTTTAAAATAAAATTTGAAGAAAAAGTGGGACAGAAAGAAAAAGAAGAAAAGGAAGACAGAGAATGGAAAAAGATTAAAAAAAACGAATAAAATTCATTCATCATTTTTCCTTCCGCACATGCACTATTGATTTAATGGCAATGAAAATAAGACAAAAAAAAAAAAAAAAACATTAGCTCTCTTTCAATATAACACAAGAAAAATGAATTATTTTAAATTAAAAAAAAATCAACAGAGGTATATAATCTAATGCATATGCATACATGTAAATAATTATACGTATCTATGCGCATATGTGTTACATTCTTACATTATAGTTATACGCACAAACATGTATTTCTATGATTAATTACATCAATGCATAATTGTTATTTTATGTTAACATAATTTTTCGCTTGTTATTCTATAATTATATTCGATTAATATATCAATTTAAAAAAAAATTGGTTTTTAGATTTTTAAAACTTTTTTTTGGTTTACTGAACGATTCTTATACTGTAAAATGTTATATTTTTTTATTTTTAAAAACTTCAACGTTTTCAATTTATTATATTAAAATATATACATTGGTATAAAATACTTTTACGAAACTTTTTTTTTACTTTTCCTTCTTCCTTCTTTACACCTTGTTTTTCAATTTTATCATTATTATTAACAATGTAGAATGAGTTGTATATCGTATAAATTGTATAAATTAAATTACTTACTTTTAATAAATAAAAACAGATAATGATGCGAAAAAAAAAATCGAATAAAAGAAATTAACAAATTATTTGTTATAGTTTGATTGCATGCTGAAAATAGTTTTTTTAACAGAGAATGATTATTACTAAATGTCAAATAAATGGAAATGGAATATATTTTGTACTTATTTTATGCGTAATATGGCTAAATACGGTTAATACATTAAGTGATAAACCATTGCTATTACTTATATCTTTTGATGGTTTCCGGTATGATTTATTGAATGCTTCTATTGTACCAAATATTTGGAAATTTGCCACCGAAGGTTTGTTATTTACTTCCTTTTTATCATACTCTACATTGCACATATTTATTATTATTATTATTATTATTATTATTATTATTATTATTATTATTATTATTATTATTATTATTATTATTATTATTATTATTTAACATCATTTGCTTGTGAAATACAAGTTGTAATGGTTAAAAATATTATAAATTAATAATTTATTTTATTACTAGCTTATTAATAAAGTTGTCGCATCATTTACATTTCATTCACTTTAATTTTAGTAAAGAATTTTATTATAATTTTATTATTTTAATTTATAAAATGAAAATTTTTTTGCACATTCTGTTTTACATCAATATAAATTATTCCACCATCATACTATTTTAAATGAACAATTAAAAAAAAATTTTTTTCTTGTTAAACCAAGTTTAATTCTAATTAAATTCGAAAAAGTTGCACAACCATAAGTTCTTGTAATAGCAATATGACAATTTGTAACACTGCGTTTAATATTATACCTTAGATAAAACCATTGTTTTTATTTAATAAATTCTTAATTGATAATCTGAAACTTTCTTTCAACAAAAAGACCAAGTTTAATATTATTTAAAATTTATCCTTTTCAGGTGTATATTTTAAAGGTGGTTGTCGTCCACAATATCTCACTTATACAGCCCCAAATCATGCAACAATAGCAACAGGCCTTTTAATTGAAAGCCATGGAATTGTTGGCAATTATTTTCATGATCTATCCACCAATACGACGTATTTTTTTTTTAATTAATAAAAAATTTAGTAATAAAGAGGGAAGAAAGAGAGAAAGAGAGAGAGGGAGAGAGAGAAAAAGATAGACACAAACTTTACCACTTTGTTTTCATAAATAGTAATTATAAATTTTATTGCTAAAATTATCAGTATCAAGAATTACCATTAATCTATCATAATTATCACTTAATTAATGAAGCAATTTATTCTATTATTAAAACCATTAATGGCAAATACGTAACCATTATTGATTTATTGATTTATAAATATAGCTTCTTTGTAATTCATTAATGGGACATTACCTATGCTAGAATAGTTTTCATTTATTTTCAATCAACAAATTTTGCTAATAAAATTATTAATTAATCGCTGAAACTAAAATTAATTGTGTCGAAGTTATTTATCAAAATCAAAAATTCATATATAAATATATATTTATTCATTGCAAAATATTTGTTTTGCATTATTAATTAATTAACTTTTTTTATTTGCAAAATGTTAAATTAATTTAATTTTACATTGAAAATTATTATTATATTTATCATTTATGATAGTAAAGGTTCGATTTATTCAATTTAACGCAAAAAAAAGGAGCAATAAATGATTCATTAATGGGACATTTCTATAATGGTGAACCAATATGGCTTACAAATGAACGAGCTGGTTATGGAAGACGTTCAGCTGCAATGTATTGGCCAACCGGAAGTGGACATTGGCCATCTATACCGCATAAACCTACATTACACAGGTTAATTAATTATTCTATTTCCGTTTTAGTTTTTTATCCATTTGCATAATTAGCAAATTTTTTTGTTGTTTTTTATCTCTCCTTATCTTTTTCTTCATTTATTTATTTATTTATTTAATCTAATTTACAAAATATTCATTTCACTCAATTGCATATTCATCCCTCCTTCAATTTTATTTATTTATTTATTCCTTCATTCATTTTGTCGTTGTTCAATTTTCAATTTTTGTTTTCATTTCCTCAATTTGAAATTTTAATTGCTTTTGCAAAATTAATCAGGAAAAAAATTTTTTTTTGTATTTTTGATAATTTGTTGCTTTGAATATGCCAAAAATTTATAGATCATGGATCGAATATAAGAATTTGTCGCAATGGATGAATGATTTTGATGGAGTTTTAGAATTATTTACACGTGAAAAAGATCCATACAATTTTGTTGCTTGGTAAGAATGCTAATTTATAATTTTTAATGCTTAAATTATTGACGCTTAAAGAAATGAATGTTACATTTGAAGGTATGTTGCTGAACCGGATCATTTCCTACATTTTAATGGATTTAAAAATGGTAAAATTAATAAAATGATGCAAAAGTTGGATTTGTTAGTCAAATATATCAATGATAAGCTAGAAAATAATTCAGAACTTTCAAAACGATTAAATATTATCTTAACTGCTGATCATGGACATGCTGAGGTATTTGAAACAATTTTATTTTTTCATTTTACCTTTTCATTTTCTTCTCGTTTTTTTTTTTTTCACTTCCCGTTTTTTAACTTGAGAACTTTTGATTTTAACAATTAATTGACTAAAATCTAATTATTACTAGTCATATGCAGATATTATTCAATTTAAATGATATTTATAAATTTTGTTTAAAAAAATTTACCTATATTTCAGCATCACTAAATAGCGTCATAGGTCATTTATATTAATTAGCTATAACTTCCTATTCTATTAAAATAATAATAATAAGCATTCACGTTTGGAATAATTACACCAACCATCGATTTAAAAAAAAAAAATTTAAATAATATAGCAAAAACTTTTCAAAAATAGCTTTAATTTTTTCTCTTTCTTCCTTTTCGTTTTCGTTTAGTCTTTTTAAATAACTGTTAACAAATTTTCATTCGTTTTAAATGCATCCTTTATCGATTTCACGAATGCATTAGATTGGAAATGATAAAATAATCTTCTAGTTTTGCTATTTATTACTATTACTAATTATCACTATTACCTATCACCTACTACCTATTACTATATATTACTATTTGGACATTTTTGTTCATTATAAAATGAAAGTGTTAACATTCATAAAAAACATTCAGATAGTATTATGTTTCGTTTTCCTTCTTATATTATCAAATAAATGCATAATTTAAGGTAATATCTCTATGCTTTTTTTAACTTTCAATTTGATGCATTATAGATCGAAGGTGCATCAAATGTTCTATGTTTGGTAGAAACGATCAATACTGATGGCCTATTATTTGGTGATCGAATGATTTATGTTAAAAATGTTGATCGAAAGCATCAAATATATGCGAGTTTAAAGAAAGTTATTGAAGATCGTCATTATCGTATTAAAATATATTACAAACAAGTAAGTAAATTATTTTAGAATTAAAAATTATACAATGACAATTTTAAACTGAAATCGATAATGTGATAAGAAAGGAAAAAACAAATAAATTAAATAGCTAACATTCAAATGTGCTGCAGAAAATTTATTACTTTTTTGCATCAAAAATTTGGCCATAGTTGCATTCAAACTATATGCATTCCTCAACTAATTTTAGCGTATTTGAACAATAATTAAAATTAGTACAATGAAATTTATCAGTAAATAAATCAGAAATCAATTTTTTTCTTTGGTCAAATTTAATAAATTTTTAATTGACAGAAGTATGTTTTCGATTAAATAAAAGTTTGTTCTTGCTTCTCTTTTTTTCACTCAAAAAAGTTTTGAATTTATAATTTTCCAATAAAATTTTTTAATTTATTTTCTTTTTCCCCTATTTATAGGATGTTCCAAAAGAATATGGATATTCTAAAAATGATAAAATTGGCGATATACTACTTGAGCCTGAACCTGGATATAATGTTCGCATTAAATGTTCGCATAATGTATGTTTTTTTTTTTTTGAAAATATAAAAGTATAAGTTTTTCGATAATTATTTAACTTTTAATAGTTGTAAATTTACCACTAATTAGATAGACGATTCGTCGAAACCGTTTCATTTTTCATCACATGGAATGAATCCAAATCATTGGACAATGAAATCAATTTTACTAATGAAAGGACCAGTGTTTAAACAAAATTATCAAGTAAATTTATTTGTAAATAAGCAAGTAATATTTGATATAAAATAATTTCAATACTTTAATAATTTAGATAGACTATAAATTTCTTTTCAGTATTATATATTATTCGTTCCTTTATCAAGTATCATTATCAATATTTGAGAATAAATTTGTTAAAATTAATAACAGAAAAAAAAAAAAAAGGAAACGAGGAAATAAAGAAAATCATAATTTTTCTTTTTCTTCCATAAATTTAATTGCTAGAATTAATAATAAAAAAATAGAAAAAAAAAAGGAAAAGAGAAAATGAGAAATTTTTATAAAATATAATTTTTCTTTTCTTTTTTTTTGTTTTTTTAAAATAGATTGATGGAACAGCAAACAATCTGGACTTATATCCACTGATGTGTTATATTTTGGGTGTAATACCAGCACCAAATAATGGTACCATACAACATATGTTGGAAGTACTGAAAATACCAATTACAACAAATTCATTATCAACCAAACAAATTGAAGTTATTTAGTTTTTTTTTCAATTGTAAATTGGTAATAATTAGGTTAGAAAACGAATAATGGATAGGAATGAAATCAAATTGAAATTATAAAAAGAAAACCTGTCAATTTTTTTCTTTCTTTTTTTCTGTCCATTGTTTATAAAATTATGAAATTTTAACAAATTTCATAATTTTTTAAGACTAGATGAAAAAAATAAAATAAAAGTAGTATGATCAAAAGTAACATGATTTTGAATAATGTAATGAAGAAAAAAATTTTTTCTTGCAATTATAAGTGATTTATTTAAATTATTTTAATAGATTATATAAATGAAATTTTTTCTTTTTTTAATAATTTTATATAAATCAATATATCATTTTTGCGTTAACTTTTTCGTCTAACTATTATTAAAGGTAAAAAAACATTTTTTTATCCTTTATGACGGGTAAAAATGAAAAGAAAAAATTTCCCTTATTTATAATTATAAGTGGGAAAAAAAAATTAGAAAACAAGTAATTAAAAAAAAAAGGAAAAAAAGGAAACTCTAACATTTAACTTTTTCATTTATTCTAAAATTCTATTATTCTTTTGGTCAGATATTATTAATGCTTCTTAATTGATTGAATTAACTATAACTTTTAATTTAACTAATTTTAAGTACTTTAATTTTTTTTTATTCTTTCAGTTCCTAACAATAATTGTATGTGGTGGACCGCTAGTAACATTTGTAATTTTTGTAATCATGATAAGCCGACAACAAAGGCACCGTATATTAAGAAACAGGCGTAAGTATTATCCGCTTACTCATAAATTTGATCATGATGTTACCGATTTGCTGGATGAAAATTGCAATCCGGAAGATGACTTATGATATTTTCCATTTTCATTTGATAAGCTGATAATTCATAGCAAATACGGAAATGTTAATTAAAATTGTAGCTTAACTAAAAAATGAAACTGTTTTATATCACTTTTTTTTTCCATTTTTTTCTATTTAAAATCTATCAGACAGCAATATATCTAATTAATTTTCATATCCTAAATTTAAACACTTATTTTATATGTTTTTATTTATTTTCTTTTTTTTTCGTTCGTTAAAAAAAGAGAAAGCAAAAAGTGGAAAAAGAAATTGGATGATAATTTAAAAGAAAAAATACAGTGGTATGCTAATTATTTTTGAAATAATAGGCTTTGTCCTGTAAATCTTACAGTTTCATTCATTAATTTTATAACTGTTGAATTTTGAAGACTTTTTATTTATATTTCTATTTTAGATACATTTAAAAAGATCAGATAAAATAAATGAATAAATAAGTAAAAATGCAAAATTGTATTATTCCCATTTTTATTTTTTTCTTTTTGTATGAAATATTTGAAAGCAATAATAAAAATTTAAGGATAATATTAATATAAAAGCTATAAATAAATTATAACATTTTATGAAATACCACATGTTTTCCTTTTTGTATTAAAGAAAACAAAAAAGGAAAGAAAAATGGAAAATAAGGAAATAATTAATTTGATTTAAATGAGAAATTCCCATGTAATAAAACATATTTGAATGATAATAATTACAGATTTGATAAGCATAAGTTATGATAATTGGAAAAATTCGTGTAGTTTGTTTGTTAATTGATTCATCTGAAGCTATCTGATAATATTGCAAGATTAAAAAGAAAAAAATTATTGACAATTTCATTAAATCACCAAGATTTTTTTCGGTGGTTTATTTTGGAGCGTAAACTTTTGGTGTTATTGTTTGAGAATAACACTTTTAACTGATATTTACATCTCTTTTTTTGCTTTTCATTTTTCGTAAAAGATGTGATTGATTTTATAACGTCCTTTTTTTTTTTTCTTTTAATTTCTACTATGAAAACTAAAGGATATGAAAATTTAAGTGGAAAAAAACGCTAAGAAAAATATTAAGTTTCACATAGGAATAAACATGAACAGACGTGAGTAGATGTGAATAGATGAAAATAAACGTAACATTACTGTATTTCGTCGAAAAATTATTTATATTAAAAATGATGAAAAATCCCAACAAATAAAACTAAAAAATAAACGATAAACCAAAACACAATAATGTTGGAATGAGTGACACAACGAAACGACAAGTATGATTTTGATGACCAACAAATAGTGTGCACTGGTCAATTTGGCCTTTGGCTATCTGGTATGAATGATATATGTCGTCGTCGAATTAGCACAATTGTGCATTTTCTAATTGGCGATGAAATTTGGACATTATATCATTTTGTTATTTTCTCATTTACATTTATAAGGTATGTCGTTTAGTTGAATTAGAAATGAAAGGAAAAAGGCATATGAAAAATTGTCAAAATTAAAAATTTTACTTATAAAAATTAATATTTGATAATATTAAAACAATAAGTGTATGTAGTGATGTATATATAATATGTTAATGGTTCGATTTTTAGTTATGCATTAGTGCATGCCTCACGTAAAACGTTAAGCACGGTAAAACCATCACTTATCATCGAATGGACTGATAATAGCAGCGGTGAGCAACCATTATTTCCTGATAGACATGCAGCAGAAGGATTCTTAGCATTCCTTGATGGTGCATTCCTTGGCGCATATGCTTTGGTACTTATTCTTGTTTCTTTTTTTTTTTTTTTCTCTAATTTCAAACAATTAATTATTTCGGGTAGTTTGCTGAAGTATGTTTAGCTTACGGAAATAACAAAGGATAAGATTACATGAGGCTTTCATGTAATTTTATTCATTGTCCGTAAGGATGTCAATTGTGAAGAAACAATGTTAAAAAGTAGTAAATGGTAAGTGAATATACGAACAACATTAGATATTTACAGGGCCTTTATGCAGGTGGTACATTAGGTGATCGTTATAACCCGGCAAAAGTACTTGCTTTTGGCATGTGGACATCATCAGTTACCGTAAGTTTGTCAAATATGTAAAATTTTTTATAATTTAATATGTAATTTACTGATGATTGGTGTAACTTTCTTGAAAAAAAGACATTGAATAAATGTCTAGTCTATATTGAGGAAAATTGAAGTGCTTTTATGAATTGATAAAGTTTTCGATAACTCCACTCATTTTATTAGTGTTAAACTGATGGAATTAGTGTGCTTAACTTAGACTATTATGTAAGAGAAAGAAAAAAATTGTTAATGAAATACTTTATTCTGGAATAAATGATTTTAAAGATAATTGTACTCGATAGAAGATTGAATTTCGGTTTCATCAAAAGTATCACATCAATAATTTTAATATGATTAGCCGTATAATTTTGACCAGTAAATATTTGTTTTTACAGATATTTTTGTTTGGAATACTAAAATGGTCACCGTTTCATTCACCTGTATATTATGCTGCAACGTGGATTGCATGTGGTTTATTTCAGTCTGTTGCTTGGCCTACCGAAGTATCTTTTTCACATTTTGTTTGCAAATTCGCTTCGTTTATGAGTTGATTATCAAGCTAGTTATTTGTTTAATTGCTTTTTGAGTTTTAAAGGCGACTTTATAATTAAGTTAATCGTATTTAGAATTACCTTTATCATTCTACTTTTGCTGAGATGATCTTATGAAGTAAATTAATGAATTTAAGGATGGTTTTTGTAATTTCTCATATACTGAAACACGAAGTTGATTTCAGGTGTCTATTATGGGTAATTGGTTTGGGCATAATAGTCGTGGTGCTGTAATGGGACTTTGGTCAGCATGTGCTTCAGTTGGAAATATAGTGGGCACATTAGTTTCATCTCATACCGTACAGTTAGGATACGAGGTAAGTCGTTGAAATATTGAAGTAGAAACGTTTTCTAGCCAAAAATTTTTGATTCTCTTTATTTTCTCTTATTCACTATCAAACATTCTCCTATTTCTAATTTGATTATACATAGGACATAACTTTATACTTTTTAATAATGGCTATCTAACATCTTTCACTTGGTACTACTATTGATAAATAATAACCAATAAATACATTTTAACATTAATAGAGTTTTATGATTTTATTTTAGTATTCGTTTGCTGCAAATGCATGTTCGCTTTTTTTCGGAGGATTTTTCATCTTTTATCTTTTGCCGTTACGAACGATACACGGTATCTTTCACAGTTCCTTTTGAATTTGTTGGTCACTGAAATTACGTTTTATTTTGAGCATACATACTGGTATTATTTAAAAGTGTTCACTTTTTTTGATTAAAGAAGCAAATTTTCTAGGAAAAAGATTACCCAGTTATTCAATATAGTGTGCATTTTCTGTTTATTTATACCGGGTACGATGAAGTACCATCTTGAAAAAAGACTCAACGATATCAACCGTTTTATCATTATTTGTTCTCATCTACTAATCATTTATCAAGTGGTTGATTAGAAATATGCATTTACTTAGATGAATATTAAATCATACGTTCCATATAGAGTTCGAAGCAGTAGTTTCTGTTACGGATAATGTGGAACGACCAAAAGCAATCAGTTTTTGGCAAGCTTGGCGTCTTCCAGGTGTTATTGCGGTGCGTTTTTTTTATGACGTTAAATGTGCAAAATTTTTAATAACTAAATCATTTGAATCTTTGGAAATCCCAATTGTATAATAATCATATCATTTAGCTGTTTCAGTACTCTCTGGCATATGCATGCCTAAAGTTAGTTAATTATTCATTTTTCTTCTGGTTACCATTCTATCTTCATACTCATTACGGGTGGAAAGAATCGGTTGCTGATGAGTTATCAGCGTGGTACGATATAGGTGGTATTATTGCTGCAGTTGTTGCTGGTATTGCTTCTGTGAGTTATCGAACTTTTATTTTTATCTGTATGAAAACGTCTATTATAATATTTTTATAATTTTTTTTCTAATAATTTCTTTAATAATATATTTTTTTTTATAATAATTTTTGATAATTCTAATATTGATCTTTCTTGAGAATCATTATTTTTCTTTTTCCTTTTTTGTTTCAGGATCATTTCTCGTCACGTACTCCAATTTTAATATTTATGCTAATTTTTTCAATGGGATCCCTGTTTGCTTATGCTAGTAAGTCATATTCAAATTTGGTGCTGTAATTGATGGTATTAGTATTCTCAATTTTTCAATGGAAAGTATGATTGTCAGAGGTTTTAAGTTCTGTTCCATATATTTCGTCTGTGTTGCTAAACATAAGGGAAATATGGCAGCAAAAAAATACATTAAAGAATTGAATATGTTAAATTCAATTGAATTTTTGGTATGGCGAAGCACTGCTTTAAAAAAAGTGAATAAAATGGAAATAATGATAGAATCTTGACGGACTGCACATTTCGAAAAGAGAGTTATCACATTTTTTAGATTCACCAGACAATATTTTGATGAATTCATTCCTAATGGCATTAACGGGGTTTTTTATTGGTGGGCCAGCTAATCTAATATCATCTGCTGTTTCTGCTGATCTTGGTGAGCTTATTTATTTATTTATTCTTTTTTTTTTACTTTATAATAGTTTTTAATATGCATTTAGGGAGAAGAAAAATGAACTTCATCTCTGGATACATCAGACATATTTAGTAAAAGATAATGTATTTCAGGGAACGCTGAGCAAATTAGAGGATCATCGGAAGCGCTGAGTACAGTTACAGGTATTATTGATGGAACTGGTAGTGTTGGTGCAGGAATTGGTCAACTCCTTATTCCAGAAATTGAAGCTATGTTTGGTTGGACAGCTGTATTCTATGGTTTTATTGTTATGGTACTTCATTCTATTACTTTGCTTACTTTATTTATACTTTAACAGAATTTTTGCAATTAAAAATTTAGAACTGTTATGTTTATTGTGTGATACCATAGTATCTAGAGAAACGACAAATTTGAATTAGAAAAAAGCTTTTTTTTTTTTTCAATTGCAGATGTTCTCTACAGTTTTATGTTTGGCACCACTTTTGTGGAAAGAAATGTCCAACAGACTAAATCCTCGTTATGTACATTTACATTCGGAGGACAGTAGTGGTTCGCTGGGATCATATTCCGATAATACCTCAGATTCAGCTATGAATAGTTCACAATTACCAATTAGAGTCAGGCATCGGAATTCACCAGATTAGTTCAATTTTTACAAATGTAAAATTTCTGATTTAGCAATTCTGCTATTATTAATAGTAAAATTGTGGAGTAATTGTTGATCAAGTGTTTGACAGTGTGGTATGGTGTTGATGACTCAAATAATTTTTCTTGTACTAAAATTAAGTTATGTTTATGTAACACATCTAATTAACTAAATTGAGAACTCCCAAATATCATGTATCTGATATCTCGTTCGAGTTAATAGTATTTCTTATTACTACTGCACGAATTTCATGTCAATTTGCTGTGATTCATTTCTTTCATCAGATTATATCAAACTAGTCGATAATGATATTTGTCCGAATTACCATAATGTAAAAGAGAAAAAACATTTTTATCTCTTGGCAGTTTACAGAATTGGGTTAACAGATAGGCAAGAAATATTCAGGTTTTAAGGTTGTGGAAATTTGCGTGAGAAATTCAGAAATAAGTAATTGGTAGTATGTAATCTTGCATACTTATTAGTAGTTGATAGAAAAAAAAATTTTTTTCTCTTTAATTAATTGAATGAAAGTTCCTTGCACTACACAGTAGATAATAATGTATAATTAACCAGATATTTTATTTTTATTGAAAATAGAAATTAAGCGGAAAATTTTCTTCCGGATGTTGAATTTTTTGGAATTGAGCATTTATTATGCCAGTTATATTGTTTCAAAAAATATAGACGCCTAATAATAGATGCCTAATCAGAGAAATACAATAAGAAAAAAGAGGAAAAGAAAAATGTTGTTATACAAACGAAGAATAAAATGAAATATCTGAAGGAAAAAAGAAGTTATTTGTTTTTGTGAAAGGAAGAAACAAAAGGTTCGATTTTTTTTTTACATATGCGCGCATATATAAAAATGATGCATTTTTTTTTTTTTTTTTGCGTCAAAAGAACACTATAGAGTGTATTCAAAGATTACCTTTTAATTGTAAAAGCTAAATACAAAAAATTCATTCGTTTCATTATGGATGGTTTCATCAACTGGTTGATTGATTGATCGGTTAATAGATTTCTTGTTGTCTTATATTTTAGAAAATATGAAAGAAGCAATGGGATTAATTTTTCCGTATTTGAAGCCATTATGACAGTATTACAATTAATTATTTAAGGCATATTGTAGCATGCAAAGCGACAGGCTTATGCTGTCCAACGAATTTTTTCTCCGCAACCAATCCATAGTACAAACCAGATGCGCAAAATGAATCCTGAAAGAAGAAAAAGAAAAGGATGAAAAAAATAGAACGAAAGAAATATCATTTCGAAATACATGAAATCAAGCATGAAAATTTGATTTATATATTATTGTTGACATTTTTACGTATTATACTTTTAAACTAAATATAGCATGCATGCTATCTGAATTATTTATTCAAAAATTTTCAATTTTTTTTGACCCTATTTAATTTTACATAATTATTGGTTACTGGTAATAAAAATACTTACATGTCTGAATAAGTCGCTCAGTTTTTCATTGTATAATACGCGATCAGCCCAAGCTGGACATAAATTTTTCATAAATTCCTCCCTTCCTGTCATTTTATTTATACCATAATGGCGTGATGGCTATAAATTATAGTAGTAAAAAATTTTCAATATTCATTACCTTTACTTTAAATTCGTAGATTTTGAGATATATTAAGTTATTATATATGATCGATGAATCAATTCATCAATTATTTTAATATTGCATAGTTCAAAAAAAGAAAAGATTATAAAATTATTGATAGTTACGGAAACTAAGTATTGTTAAATGTAATGAAAACTTCATTAAATGAAAGAATAAAGATTACATTTACCTGAAAAAATACCGATTCTTCCAGTAATTTACCGGCAAAAACAACTTGTGCAAGTTCACCATTGTATTTTTTGACCATTTGTCCTCTACCAAGACGAAAGAACCAATCATGTATGGAATGAAGATCAAAACGATGAGTTTCCACAGTTAGCACACTCTTTAATTCAACAATATTTAAGCATTAAAAAAATTTTTTAAAAATTTTTTTTAATCGTTAAATTAAGTTATTAGTATAAATTATTTCGTATAACTGAAGAAAGAATGGTAATAATAACAACAATAATAATTAAGGAATAAATATGAAAAGAAATGAATAAAACTTAAAATTTAGATGAAATCTTTGTAAATTTGAGTGACTAATTATATATAACTTATTTATTATCCCTCTTAATCATTTTTAACTGTTTATAAATTATTATTTAAGAAAAAAAAAAAAGATATAAGACATAAAATATCATTACTAATAACAAAAACTACAACAATCATTTTTCATAAAATAATTATCAATAATAAAAATATACTCGGCCGTGACGATCACGTTGTTCAATACCTTCTAATTTACCATCAGCACTCTTTCTTGCATAACTTGTAGCTCTCTGAGTACTTGCCATATCCTTGATAAATAAATTATTTTAATAAGATGAACAAAACAAAAAAAAAAATGTTGATTCTTTTTTTTGTTTTGCTAAAATTAATATAATGAACATTTTTAAATCAATTTCAGAAAAAAAAAGGAAAAATAAACATACACTAAGTAGATGTGTTTCAAATAGTTGGGCATTAAAAGCACCAGCAACAAGAACTGAATCATCTTTTAATCCCTCCGATTCAATCCTAAATATTTTTTGTCATGCTTATTTAAATAATAACTGTTAAAAAAAGCTTAAATAATATCCTTTTAAAAAAATAATTAAAAAATATCCTCCAAAAAATTCTACAAACTTTTAATATTTAACTTGCATCAAAAAAAGCGAACAAGTTAACTTTAATATATGATAATTTTTTATTATTTATATATGACAATATTTGTATTTAAATTGAAAATAAATTTTAAGCGAAAGAAGTTCAAAAAAAGAGAAGAGAAAAGAAATAAATATTAAAAAAAAAAAAAAAAAAAGAACAAACTCTCTGAGTAAAATATCAATTTGATTTCGTCGTAATCGTGCAGCTTTCGTCGTCTCAGGCTATAAAATATATTCATAGATTAAATTATTAGAAAAAATTAAAGTTCGTTATTCATTTTTTTTTAAATTGATAAAACTTTCAAAGTTTTAATTGGTAATATTTTAGAAGAATATTTTTTTCAATTTGAACAATTTTATTTCAAACAAAATTATATATAATAACGAATTATTTGACAAAAAAATTGGTAAAATAAGACAAAACAAAAATGAGATTAAAAAATTATTTTAAAATTATTATCAACCTGTTCGACAAGTTCTTTAATATCTTCAAATGGTACAGTATGTAAGCTAAGATTGACAAATGTAAAATCGCGACCATAAATACGAAAACGTGACATTAAATAACCACTTTGTACGGTTTTTTTTCCATCTATTTTCTCATTTCGCTGATTATCATTACGCTAGAAAAAAAAGCACACTGAAATATTTCATTTTAGGTTAGATTTTTTTTACAAATTTATGACAAAATTGAAATATAATAGCAAAAAATCCATTTAAATTTAGTAAATACATTCAATTTTCATTTCGTTTTTCTTTTTTTTTTTTTGGTGTCTTTTTTTTGGCTTTTATTGAATAAGATGAAATTATCAAAACGGAACTTTTTACTCAAGAAAACAAGAAAAAAAAAGAAACATTGGTAAAATATTAAGATAACCAACAGTCAATTATTTATCAAAAAAATATTCCACTGCAATTTCAAATTGATAATTTCTTGTATCCTTAATTTTCTTTTTGAAATTTTTTTAAAAGAAAAAAATGTTAAAAAAAATACCAAGAAATCATAGTAAATTTACATAGAAATATGTAGTAAACTTCACGTGAAATTTACGTGTTTAAAAGACATACGTAAAAATCTCCTTCATAACGTAATGAATAATTGGAAGCTGAACTTGAAGCATTATTAAATATATTTGAAATGAAACCATCACATTCTCGTGCACCAATTTCATATTGATGTCCTGGACGAAGACTTTTATAGCCGCTATTACTGTAGCGATCAAACGACTCTACTTCATCATGTTCACGAAATAAATAAATTGATCCAAGACCCTGAAAAAAAAGAGAGAACGGAACTAATATTCAGGATAATCAGCCGTTCGTAATTAGCGTTTAATAACTAATCTAGTACTTCATGTAAATTATTAATCAGGTAGTTTGCAAATGTTTCTATTGGCGCAAAAATTCGTTTCATTTTCTGATATCAATTATTTTGTTAACTTTCAGAAAAAAAGTTAAAACAATGATTGAAACATGAAATACGCCAATGAATAAAAAATTTTGAACAAAAAAAGAAAAAATCAAGCGCTCAGAAATTTTTTTTACAAATACTGATTTTTCAAATATCAAACCATTACAAAGTATTTATCACAAAAAAAAAAAAGTAATTTCGTTGAATAATTTCTATTTTTTAGAAAGAAAAAAAATGAAAAAAGCTGAATTTCCTATCCGATCTTGAAAATTTTCAAAAATTTAGAATAGGAAGAAAAAAGCGAAGAATTATTTGTTATTTTCTTCATTTAATAAGCAGATGAATAATAATAACAACTTTTTTTTCAATTATTTAAAAAATTTCTACAAATTTTAAAACTCTTTATAAGTTTAGAAAAAATTTTTGTTTTTTTTACTGATTCCACAAAACGAATCTTAATAAATCGATAAATCTAATAAAATATTTAACAGAATGTTTGTTTAACATTTATCATATTTCAATGTACAATGCATGATACATTAGTTGAAACATATGCTGTAACTTAATTTTTATTATTAAAACTTAAAATCAGTGATTTAATTTTTCTTCTTTCTGCCATGTAAAAAAAAAGTTTATACAATTTTAAAAATTACCGTTTCACGAGTGTCAAAATATGAGCGGCTTGTTTTAAATAAATTTTGTACTTCAGCCGCATCGTATAGTATGCTAAAAAAATAAAATAAAATGAGATTAATATGGTTAAGAAATATTGATGCATTGCATTAAATTATTAATTAGCATTAAAAATAAAATTTATTTAA